GCCAGCAGGAGCCTGGCTCTCCTGTCTGTGGATGGGACAGTTACACTTGCGTCCCACGAGAGCTGGTGTCCAGGAAAGCATGGTATAGGATTATCACCGACATGCTGTTTGGCAGAAAACATAAGTAGCTGGAGACCAGACAGACCTTTTACACTTGCCGACTTGGGCAGGGCCTTTTGGATAGGGGCAGGACCCTGAGACCTGCTGTCCTCTCACTGTCCTTCAGTCGTCATGGAGATTCCCCAGGCGAGGCTGCCCCATGGAGTGCCCCCATCACTCCGAGAATCCCTATCCGCCCTCCTGGCTGGGCAGTCAGGCCCAGGGAGCCTGGGGGCTGGTGAGGGGTCCAGGACTCTCCAGGCTGCTGGGGGCCCCTGTTCTCTGGAATGACTTGCCTGCCCCCTAGTGGATTTCCGAAAGTCTCTTGGACTCCTGGAAACTTGTCAGAAAGGGACTGTGACAATTGGGTCCAAACTTGTGCACATCCCAGTGGGGAGACTGGAGAGACTGGAGCCTGGAGCAGCAGGGACTTGTGTAAGGATGTCCATTTCAGAGCTAGGACAAGAGGCGGCGTGGCCGGCCCCTGAGAAGAAGCCCAGGCTCAGGCGTCCCACAGCTCGGGTGAACCCGGCAAGACCACTTGGCCAGTCCGCCTCCTCTCAGAGTGTGGTCAGGACTGGACAGGGTGCCCCAGGGCCAGAGGGGCCAGAGGAGGAAGGGTTGCAGGGAGAGCTTCCTGGGGGAGGAGCAGAGCTTTGGTGGGGAAGGAGGAGTTGGCCAGAGGGGTGGGAAACAGGGGCATGACGGAGCATGCAGGCTGGTGCAGAGCTGGAGGGCGGCAGGAAGGGGTGGTGAGGAGAGACGGGGCACCAAGGGAAGCCCCGCTGCCACTCTGCCCTTGCCTGGTGTGCAGGATCCCAGCTCAGCACCAGACCAACCAAGCCCTAGTGTGGAAGACAGCAGAGGAGGAACCAGCAGGTGACCTCAGGAGCTGGCAGCATTGCTGGAGGGGAGTTTGTTCATTAAAAGCCTTTGGGCTACTTAGTTCTTTAATTTGTTCATTCATCAATTCAGCTGCCTAGTACCTGCCTCTTCCTGGGCATTGGACTAAAGGATTGAACTAGATAAAGTCCCTGTTGTCGGGTGAGGACCAGGCATGGTAACTACTAATTCACACAGAGGAGGGTTGGAAAGGGTTTCAGGAGGAGGTGGCATTTTAGGTGGACTTTGAAGGATGTATAGGTGTTTGCCAGGTATTAAGAAAGGAATAAGGTCATCTAGGCAGAGAAACAACAATAGCAAAGGGGTTTGCCAAAGAATAAGGAGTGTGCCGTAGCCAAAGAGTTGGGGGGTGTAGGGAGCAGATGAGGTGGGGCCAGCGTGTGTTGAGCTTTGAATGCCAGGGTAAAGGGGTCGGGCTTTTCTAAGGAGTGCATCCCGATCTGTGCCCACCTGAAGAACCGGGAACCCAACAATCCCAGACCACACAGCCCTGCAGGGCCTTCTGGAAGCCCATGAGCCCATCTTCCATAGCAAGAACACAATCCCCCAGCAGTGCCAGGAATGTGCCATTGCTGGGAATCGACCGCAAGGGACAGGAGAATGCCCCCATGCTGCTGCGGGGAAGGTAGGGGGACTTCCTGGGCACCAGCTGGCCCTGACTCATCATGAAAGTCATGACTTGGGGCTCCACGTCAGAAGCCCATGCAAATGCTGGGCTGGCTCCTCTCGAGAGCTGCCGGCCCAGCTCCAGCCCAGTTCCGAGCGCCTCAGCAGCCTCGCCAGAAAGGGGGTACCCTCGCCCCCATTCCACAGGAGAGAAAGCTGTGTGCTCTCTGGGGCTGCCTCCCCTAGGACCTTCCAGGGACCGTGGCTATTGCTCTGGGCTTTTGTAGCACCACGTCACGACCTCAGATCAGGAAGCAAGCGGGCTGGCACATACAAGGCACTTTGCCCCTCCAAGCCTCTGTTTCCTCATCTGTAAAGTGGGCAAAGAACTCCTGTCCTAGAGGGTGGGTGGTTGAGATAACGTGCACGCAAGCTCCCAGCACACACCTGCCCAGGGCAGGTCACAGGTACACGGGGAATAAACAACACTCAGAACCATCCAGCTGGGAGGAAACTTGCCCAGCCCTGGACTGGGGCGTGGCACAGGGTGCACGTGGGCCCTGGCCTTCCTCCTCCGTCCCTGGCTGGTGAAGGAAGGTTGGGAGAGGTAAGGACCTTGTTGTGGGGGGTCTAGTTAAACGCAGTGTGTCAGCTTTGGAGCCAGAGGTCCCCATTGGAGCCCCACGGTTTGGTGGGGTTTGGGCAGGAGCCTCTGAGGACAGAGCTGAGCCGGCCCCTCCCAGTGTGGGCAGCGCAGAGGGTGGGCAGGGGGGCAGGAGCTGCTCCCCCCGCACTGACATTCTGGAGGCCCAAGAGCAAGAAGACCTGTGGCTGGATCCCAGCACACCCCGACAGACAACACACATGCACAAGACATGCGCTTGGACACACATTATGCATATGGACACACACTTTACCCACACAGACACAGGAGGTATGCCACTGCCCCAGACTTTGGTGCCCAAACAGACATGCTTGGACACATAACATGCACAGCTAATGCCGCATACATGCAGACACACCAAGGCCCCCATAGACACAAATAAATACACATAGACACATATGGACACACAAATGCATGTATACACAAACAGCATATCCACACACATGTCCACAGAAAAGCACATACATGAAAACACAGACACAGTGACAACATGTCCACAGGCACAGGCTCAGGCTCACTGTCACTTGCCTGCTAAGGGCCCTTTGACCTCGGACATCCACTTCAATGTACACAAGGTCACGCAGGTCTGTTCACACGCGCACGTGCACCCTAAGTCATGTGTGCACCACACTTCTCGGCGGACATCTAACAGCAGCCCCGTGGGGCAGGCAGGGCGGGGGCCTGGTCCCTGTCCTGCAGTGAGGGGCGGAAGGCCCCGAGACCCACTGACCAGTCCTGGTCACACACCTTCGGGTGGGTATCTTAGCGCAGGCTGCTGTAACAGAGTATCACAGATTGGGGCCTGAAACCACGGACATTTAGTTCTCACAGTTCTGGAGGGTGGAAGTCCCAGATCAGGGTGCCGGAAGGGCCGGGTGCTGGAGAGGCCTCTCTTCCCGGCCAGAGGGCGTGTTGTTGCTGTGCCTGTCCTGGCGGGAAGAGCCAGCCGGCTCTCTGGCCTCTTTGCACAAGGGCAGGAAACCTACTTGCGAGGCTCCACCCTCCTGACCCGATCACCTCCCGAAGGTCCCACCTCCTAGTACCGCCGCGCTGAGACCCGGCTTTCGACATAGGAACGCTGGAGGACACAGAGCCTCAGCCCACAGCCACAGGAAAGCTGAATCCTCGTGTGAATTCTGGACGCCTATGCCTGTCCCACGTGCCAGGGCGCCACGCACCCACACGTGTGCGCATGGCAGATCATGGCAGATCATGCTCACGGCAGACACACAGCTGTGCACGGGGGGCCTCACTGGTTACCCAGGCCAAACGCTCACGTTGCACATGAAGAAAAACCGAGGCCCCAAGAGAAAACCCACAGCCCTGAAGGGGGCCACCCAGAGGGCCTGTGGAGGAACCAGGGCCAGGCTCCTGTCCCCATCCCCCTGCATGGCTGTGCCGAGCACGCACAAGCCGCGGGCACCCCGCACAGGCACACGCGTGCAGATCCTGCCTACTCAACCCCCTGCGGCTGCAGGGCCAGGTGTGTTTCCACAGTCCTCTGGTTTAATTCTCATGACAATAAGGGAGGTCGGAGTGGCTGGCCCCATTTTGCATACGAAGAAACTGAGGCATGAAAAGGCTAGGCCCAAAGGTGTGCAGGTAGGGACAGTCGGTGGCGTCTCCCAAAGCCAAGTCTGCGCGCGTCATCCACATCCCTCACGCAGCTCCTCTCTCCCGCACACGTGTGCACACGCACACACGCAGGCATCGGGGCCTCTGCGGGGACGGCAGCCCCAGGCAGCGCATTTCCCCAGTGACGCCCAGTTCAAAGTTTCAGTGCCGGGTCCCCTTCCCAGGCGGTCTCTGGAAGAAGGACAAATTTGCCAAGGGCTTAACCTGCCCCCTTGGCCCTGGCCTGCTCCCCTCGGCTGGGAAATGAGTTCCACGTGTGCCTGCTCTGAGCCCAGCCGCGGGGACCGAGCGCGCTCTTTGATGCTGGAAGCCAATTTAATGAGTTGGCTGTGTGGTTCTTTTTTGTTTGTTTTTTCTGTAAGACAGGAGTCTCATTTTCCTGAGAACCAAGGAATTCTCACTTTCTCTCCCTCATCTGGAGTTTCTGAGTCCCTCAGCCCCAAAGCCTGGACTCCCAACACAGTGCTCACAGACACTGGCAGGTGTGGGCTGCCTCCAGGAGGAGGGGCAGGGCAGGACGCAGCCCACCCTGCGTGCCTCCTGCAGGCCGAGCCGTGTGTTAGGAACTCTTTAAACCCTCCCAGTGACAAAACAGAGGCTCCAAGAAAAGATGCGCAAGAAGGTGGCCCAGCTGAGCCTAGTGCCCTAGACTGCCTGGCTTCAAGTCTTTGTCCCAGTCCCCCTTCTGCCCGTGGCAGCCGTGCCACCTGGGGAAGTGACCTCTTCTCACTGAGCCTGGGGCACCTCCACTGTGCAATGGGGACAGTGTTCCTTGATGTGAGGAGTAATGAGTTCTCATAATAATAAACGCTCTGCGTCAAACTGATTTGGCAAGAGCAAAGCGCTACATGAAAGGAAGGGAATATTTCTATTTTTATTGCTTTTGTGTCAAGAGGAAAGTTTAGTCCTGGGATTTGTGCAGAAATGCATCAATTAACGTCGCTCAAGGGTACTTATTAATGAGCACCCGTTGGCCACCAGGGAGCTGTGCAAGGAATTCTTTAAAGGAAGTGGAGCAGCGCGGGGGGATGGACGTGGCCAAGCGCACGACTCTCTGGGCCGGTGCAGACACCTGCTCCACTCCGTCCTCTCCTCAGGTCCGGACCCACGCCGTCCCTGATCTCCGGGTCCCAGCCGCTTCCTGGCGAGCTCTGGCAAAGGCTGCCTTGATTTCTTGGTTTATGAGGTCCTGCCAGGGCTCTCTGGGGAAAAAGGAGAAACAAGAATCTTAAAAGAACCACCCAGGCAAGAGTCAGGACACAAAGAGCTGCAAACCGCTCACAAGTGGCTCCTTTCACTTCCTTCGTGCCCTGCCCCCGCGCAGCCCTGCCGTCCTCCCCACCTTTGCACTTTAGGGAACCGAGGCTCAGACAGGTGGAGTGTCTTTTCCAAGGCCACACAGATGCTGACTCACCTGCGTACGTGGCCTTGAGCCCAGTGGCCTCCTAGGAGATGGGGTGCCAGCCCAGCCCCGTGCCCTATGCAGGGCATGACCTCGGGAGGCTGTGAGGCCGCGGGGAGAGGGGCCGTGGCTCTCAGGGTGTCATGTTATACAAATCCAGGGGACCCCGAGCCTCCACCTGCGCAAACTTTCGTTTCCTCATTTGCTGCCCACAGGTGCCAGGAGCAGGGTGGAGCCGGGTCGTTGCCTTCACACAGAGAAGGAAGCAAGGCTCCGAGTGGCAGCCAGGGTCTCACAGCCACCTGGTGGGGGACGCTTTTGCGCCTGCTCGGCAGGGGCAGAGTGGACAGGGGACTACCCTGTGAGGTGCCTCCGGGATGGGTGATGGGAGGTGCTTCTGTGAGCACTGCTGCTCGAGTCGGTGGCCACACCGAGACATGGCTGCGGGAGAGGGGCTTTTGTCCCCTCCCCTGTCCCCACCAGCCTCCCCAGATAGCCCCAATTGGAAAGATAATAATGCCTGCAGATATGGGAAATATATAACATGAGGATAAAAACATCTTTAGAAAACTCGGCTCTAGAAACAAAAATAAAAATCAGGTTGTAACATAAAATTCAAGCAAAAATTTGGTAACTGCTTCATAAATGCAGTTCTAGGACAAGTTCCCATCGAGCCGGCACCCTAGCGCCTCCTGCAGAGAGTCTGTGTGTCTGAGTGTCTGTGACCTCATCTCCAGACACGTGGCGGCGCGTGGTGGGGTCTCCATGCCGTGGCGAGTGTGGCGCGTGCACGCGAGTGCACCCTGGGAGCTCGAGCGGGGCTGGGGTACGGTCTCCCCAGCCTGCCCGGAGGTCTGCGAGGCTCCCCCGTTGGGTGGTGCTCGCTGCAACTAATCTCTGCCCTCCTCCTCCCCACCCCCTGAGCCAAGAAGATGAAAACATTTCTGGCACTTTCTAAAGTTTCTGTCCAGGAGTGGAAAAGTCATCAGCTGAGGGAGCTCAGGATGACAGATGGCTGCCAGCCCTGCTGCTTCCCAGTCCCAGGGTGGGGTGGGCCAGGGGAGGGCTGGGAGCTGGGCTTTCCAGTCGTGCCCTCGGGGACAGAGCCGGACAGGGGACACGACAGTAGGGTGGCTGGTGCACGGGAGACGAGAGAGGTCGCCTCCCTGGGTGCCGTGCTCCGATGGACGGATGTGCAGGCACATGGGCGTCCGGGACCTCATGAGACCCACACGTGCAGGGCAAAGTCCCACCAATGGGCGAACAACAAACTTCAAGCAGTAATGTCGCCCAGGGCTATGGAGACCGCCACTGTGGGAGACGGGCTGGAGGGTGACAGCAGCCTCTGTTTAGAGTGTGTGACCTGTGCTGCCTCCTGATTGAGGCAGTGTTTGAGCTGAGACTGGCACGCTAGGAAGGGCAGGGCGCTCAGGGGCAGGGAACAGCAAGAGCAAGGGCCCGGGGCGGGAAGAGCACCATGTGCTTTACGGGGGAGTGGCACGAGAGACCAGGCCGAGAGGTAGGCACTGGCTGGAGCGTCAGGGCCTCGGAGGCTCATGAAAGAGTTTCAGCTTGAGCTCAGGGTGAAAGGACAGCCCAGAAGGGTTAACAGCAGGGAACTCTCATATTGATCACGTTTGTGCTTTTAAGAGATCACTCTGGCTCCTGGGTGGGGACGGATGGAGGGGCCTGAGGGGATGAAGGGAGGGAGGGTGGCATAGACCAGGGTGGGGTGAGGGGTGGGGAGCCAGCTGGAGGAGGGCATGTGACGTGACGGAGGCAGGGCCCTGTGTGCAGGATCTGAGCCCTGGCCTCGGTGGGTGCAGGGACTCCCCTGCCTGCCTGGAGGTTCTGGGGGCTCCAGACTTGCTGGCGGATTAGAGAGGGGGGTGGGTGTCACAAGGAGCCCAGGACGGGGTCGAGCTTTCTGGCTGAGGGTGGCGAGACCCTCTAGGAGGAAAGAGCTCTGGAGGGGGACGGGTTTCAAGGTGCCAGGAGAGCTCCGGCAGCAAGAGCCGCACCAGCCTGGAGCTCAGAGGGTCTGGGCACTGAGGGAGCCCCGGGCAGGGGAGAGAAGAGGAGAGGAGAGGAGAGGAGAGGAGAGGAGAGGAGAGGAGAGGAGAGGAGAGGAGAGGAGAGGAGAGGAGAGGAGAGGAGAGGAGAGGAGAGGAGAAGAGGGATGGGGGAGCCCCAGGAGGCTGAGCTGGGGAGGAGGGGGCCGGGAAAAGCGCGCCAGAAGGGGAAGTGCTACTGAGCGGGCAGGCGGAGAGCTAGAACTGCCCACGGACCCAGTGACATGGGGGAGGCCACGGGTGACCTTTGGAAGAGCGTCCTGGGCAGGTGGGGCTGGAGCCAGACTGCGGGGCTGGGGAGACAGAGGCGAGGAAGTGAGGTCAGAAGTGAGGTCAGCGTCAGCAGACCTCCCGAGAAGTGGACTCTCCCGGCTGGGGCTGGCGGGAGGTGAGGCCAGAGGAGGGCTTGCTCTTCAGGACAGCAGGGAGAGGCTGGAGGAGGGGACCGCCATGTGGGGGACAAGGTGAAAGGGCAGCAGTGCCTTCTACTGGGGGTGGGCTGGGCCGGCTGGGCGGCTGGAGCGCAGGGAAGAGAACCCGACTCCAACAGAACCGCCAGAGGGGCCCTCAGAAGCCAGGCCCAGAGGCCACAGCCCTAGACCGAGCCCTGTCCTCCACCACGCCCGGCCCGCAATAGCTGTGCGGACGGAAGGGTCCCGGGCCGTGTGGAGGCCTTTCCTCGAGCATGAGCTGGCTCTGCACCTGCGAGGCTGGCGTGTCCTTGTGAAAAGGGTGCGCCGGTGTGCCCTGCACCCCTGAGGCTTCCTGTCCTGTGCGTGTCTCGCATCCACTCCCCACCCCTCCCTCGCTGGGCGCTCCTCTGGACCCCGCTGTGTGTGGGGGGCAGGTTCAGAGATGAACAGGGGTCCTGAAGCCTTGGGCCCCCGACAGCAGGAGTGGAAAGGCCTGGCTGTGCTGACCGGCCCCTGTCCCCATCAGTCCTGTCTGCTTGGCGGGTGCTCAGCCTGGGCTGCTTCAGCCCCGGTCTCTTCCCAGGACGCCCATGTGTGCCCCACACATTTCTTGTCTTTGAGAGATGGGAAGAGGTGGCCTTGGGTTGGGAGGCCATCCTGGAAGGGCTGGGAGAAGCCAGTGGGAAGTTCTGGTGAAGGGAAAATTCTGAGCAGGGAGACAAGCCTGAGCTCTGACGTGGCCGTGCTGGCGTGCCCACCCTGGGCTCGGCCTCCCGCTGGTGGGATGAGCCAATTGGCCTCTGTGGTCCCCTGGACCTTCTTGGCAATCGCAACACCTGTGCCCCTTGGCTTCCGGCCCTCTGTAGATGGCCCACTGATTGGGTGGAAGGGAGTGAGGAACAGCATGTAGGAACGAAATGTTATTGCTTCTTTCTGCAGACCCATCCGTGTGGCCCTCAGTGACAGAGGTTCTAAAGGACAGAGGACAAAGGGAAGAGCCAAACCACCAGGCAGGTACAGGCTCTCTGAGTGTCTGCTTCATCTGGCCTCTAAAAAGCAGGTGCACCCCTAAAATGTGAGTGCTCTTTTGATCTAAAATTTCATCTTCTGTGGAAAAAGTGACTAGTGACAAATGCATTGCCGTGGTCAGCTCAGAATGGAAAGATTCTATGTGCTCAGCAGTAAGAGACAGGCTTTGCAAATCCTGGCGTGCCCACAGGTTGCAATCCTGACGTGGTGACGACAGAGTGTCTAGAAAGCACTCTAGGCAATGCAGGAAGGTGCTCAGGACGGGGAGCCGAGAGCACGGATCGGAATGGGAGATCGCCTAGGTGGCAGGACCTCACGCACACCAGACGCACGCGCAGCGGGCTGGCAGGAGCTGTGCTGAGTGCTGGCCGCGGCTGTCTCCCAGGAGTGAAAAGATGGTAATTATTGAACATTTGAAGAATTCTGTATTTTCCAAGTTTTCTGCACTAGGCAAGGAGAATAATCAGAAAAATTTTAAAATCAGGTTTAAGATAAAAGAGTCCAAGCTTTTTGGGAAATCCCTCTTACTCACCCAGGTTTGATGTCCAGGGGCTTGGGGAGGGGTCTGGGGAAGCCTGCCTTCCCCACCAGCCAGTAGGTCTCCTCCACGCCTTTGCCCTAGAACACAGAGGGAAGGTGAGGCAAGGCCCCTCCCCCACAAACCTCGAGCCGGAGCACATGGGCAGAGCGTGTGGTTCCAACATCTCCCCGGAGAGCAGCCTGGAGCCCTGAGGTCCAGATCCGGGCCCTGCCACTTCCTAGCTGTGTGACTTTGGCCAACACACTTTACTTCTCTGTGCCTCAGTTTCCCCATACCTCATAAAGTTGTTATAAGGATTAAATAAGCTTATATTTATATTAAAGACATAAATAAGAGATCAGGAACTCTATGGCTGTAGCCATAGCATGCAGGTCTGGCTAAGATCCCAGGACTCATCTGTGGTTCTCTCCAACCCTCCTCCTGTAGGGCCTGGTGGGCTCCCTGGCGCCACAGTGCAGCTGTCGCGAGGTTAGGAGTGAGCGCCACGAGGGGCCCTGGGGTCAGGGCTGGCTGGTCTGAAGGCTCCGTGCCTCACTCCAGGCCAGGGCTCTATGGAATGGATATTGCCCCTTGGAGCCCCCAGGCTGGCCCGGAGAGCCCGAGGCTGGTGTGCTGTCCTCCCCACACCTCTCTGCAGCCCCTTCTGCCATCAGAGTCTCCTGTTCCTCAGGACATCCGGGGCCCACCCCTGCAAACAGGACACGCCTGCCTTGACTTAGGCCAGCTCACTCTCCCCCGACCCCAGCCATCCAGAGCAAAGGACTCCACATACACTGGCCTCTGCAGGCTGTGTGGCCATGGACAAGTCGCTGCCCCTCTCTGTGCTCTGACATTCCACAGTGCAATGAAGCACCCGGTTCCTGGGGCCCAGTCAGCCTTGGGCCTTTAAACTAAGCTGCTCCAGTCTCCCTGCCAGGCCCGGCTCTAGCTGAGGAATTGGAGGAGTAAGAGGAAGTGGGGTAGGAGGAAAAAGTCATTCTCTGGGACACTGTGCCATTGCCTCTATCAGATGTTATAATAGCATGAAAAGGAACGCAGAGGTTATAGACCTTTCTCTGCCTCTGAGGTACTCATGGGCAAGTTCAACCCAGTGTCACACTATCACAGCAGAGGGCTGGTCATGGGACTGGTGGGCACACAGGGAAGGCATGACAGTCACTGTTAGGGGAGCAGAGGGAGAGGAGGGGTGTTCCTGGGTCATGGCAGGCTTCAATAAGAGGTGATGTCTAAGCCAGGGCTCTGAGGGATGAGTAGAAGCCCAACAGTGCTATGAAGAGGGCACAAGCTCTGGAGCTATGGAACTTTGACAAGTCACTCTGCCTCTCTAATGAACTTCTTTAACTATAAAATGGGGACAATGACACTTCTTTCATTATTGCTCTGAGCGATAAACATGTTGACACGTGTTGGGCACCCATGTGGTAGGTCATCGGTAGTGGTGACTTCTCTGTTCTGACCCTTCCTGTCACAAGAAGCAAAATGGTTTCTGGGAATAAATGTCTCCTTAGGATTTGGGGGAGTGTAGAAGACACACGAAGGTGACCAGCTGCATCCTCTACTCTAGGTAGCTACACCAGTCAGATGAGACTCTTCCTGCTGCCCACAGAAACGGGACCTTTGGGGATGTTTCCCACCAAGACCAGGAAATTCTCTCACCTTCAGCTCAGTCTGACCTCTGATGTCAATTTTGTAGCCTTCATCAAGGCTGAGCAGCGTCTGCATAGTGCTTCGGCTGATGTGAATTCTGTATGCTGAGAAGGAAGGCAGAAATCAGGTCGCCACCTGGTGGCAGCATACCTAGTATTTGGTAAAATCATTAAGAGCCCACAACAGCTAGAGTTCCAACCAGTCGTACACACAATTATGATTTATGCAATACCCTTCTTCTGGTCCTCTTGTCCCTCTGGATAGCTGGCCACTACAACAGACCCCAAGGAAGAGCAAGTTACATAGATTGAGTATCAAGGGGAACTCAAGATGAAGTCAGAACCCCTAGGAACACAATTTCTACTTGTAGGGAAATCTGTGAAGGCTGAGTTAGAGAAGATAAGACGTTTTTGTTTTTCTTTTAAGAGCAGGACTCCCCAGTAGGGCTGCCATGGCTGGTCATACAGGATGTGCACTGACCGATATTAGGAAGCACACAACTTACACAACCAGAAGCAGACGCCCTAGGACTTCAACATTTTCGGCTACTCTAACAAAGCCATCAGAGTAGCTGCTGCCAGCAAGGACCAAAAATTTTGGGGATGCCTACATGGTGTAGTTTGGATTGCCTCAGAATAGGAGTTGACATGTGGCCAAGAAAAAAACAAAACTTTAAAAGGTCTCTTCCTTGTCCATTGGGGAAACCAAGGCTACAAGAAGAACATTTTATTCAAGGACACTAAGCAAGCCAGTTGCGGAGCCAGGGCTAGGGCCCAGGTTTCCTGTGTCTTGAGTCATTATTTTCTCTGCTAATTCCCTCATGAGATCATCACAAAAACTCGGTGGAAAATTAAAAGAACTAACGTCATACATCATTTCCTTCCAGTTGCTTTACTGACAGCTAGGATATGTCGCCATCAGGTGGCAATGTGGTTGCTAAGCACTGTTCCAAACAGCCAGCTGCACAGGTTACTGAGAAAGAGAGTCCCTCCCCGTGGGCAGGATAGAAGTATGAGACACTCACGCAGGCCCGTGGACTCCATCCGGGATGCAGTGTTGACGGTGTCCCCAAAGAGGCAGTACCGAGGCATCGTGAGACCCACGACCCCTGCTACACAGGGCCCTGGAACACAAATGTGCCCAGTGAGCCCCAGCAGGTCTTGGACCAGAGAGAGGTCCCGATGACGGCCACACCCTTCCCCACCATCCTGGTGAGGATGATGCTATCTGGAGTGCCCATCAATATCCAGGAGGCGATGATGCTTGTGCCAGGCTGCGGGCTGGGGGTAGGAGTAGGGGATAGATCAATCAGAGCCAGTCCCCGTTCTTGGGCAGCTCCCAGCTGGTAGGGAGAGATGCGTAAACCTTGATTGGGCTGTGATGAGGGAAGCATCAGGGCCATGCCAGCCCAGAAAAGGAGCTCTAACCCAGCCCAGGGGGCTTCCTGGAGGAGGTGATACATGAGCTATGTCTTGAAGGATGAGAGAATGAGTGGGTAGGGAACAGCAGGTGCAAAGGCACAGAGGCAGAGCACCCACGGGTGTGTGGGAGGCTGCATGCAAGCAGCTGAGCGTAGGTGGAGGGCCATGCAGGGAGTGGCGGGGGATGAGGCTGGAGAGGTTATTAGCAGGGCACTGGGGAGCTGTGGGGGCAGTGAGTGTGCACTTTATGCTGCAGGGGACAGGTGCCGCAGAGGAAGGAATGAGTGGGGGATGGGATGGGCATGCTATAGACTGAGGCCCCTCCCAGACCCAGCTCTGCAAACATTTAGTCGTTTGCATGACCTCGGGTTTCTGCCCTGTCTCTTCCCTCAGACTGTCCGCTTCTCAACATGGACTTAAATGATCTCAAAAAAAAAAAAAAGATATGTGAGTCTGAACATCACAGATACTTTGAGTAGAACATATTAGAACCTTAAAATAATATAGGGAAAAAGGAAACATAAACTGTCTCGATCACAGAGTTTTAGAATCTCAGAAATCCAGGAGCGCGCATTGGGGGTGCCCCAGCGGTGCCCCAGGAAGGTGGGGAGCCTGACCTGGCCCACCGGCTCGAGGCCCCTGGCCCGTACCTGAGTGCAGGCCAGCCCTGACGTGGACGGGGACGTCGGGCGCATGCCTCATCCGGAAGTCGCCCACAGAGCTGAGGACGTCCAGGGCCATGTTGGCGATCTCGGCCGCGTGCCGGCTCCCGTTGCGCCGAGGCAGCCCCGACACCGCCATGTAGGCGTCCCCGATGGTCTCCACCTGGAAACCACAGCCTTCACACTCCAGCGTGAGCACGTGCCCCCTGCCCTGTCCCACGTGCTGCCACACAGGCCGCCTCTCGGGAGCCCCACCCCACCCCAGGGGCCCCAGCCCACAGTGCCATCTCTGCCAGGCCGTTGGCAATGATGCGATCTGCACGTTTCAGATCACCTTTGTCTGCATCGCAGGGGACATGCCTCTTTTGTCTCTGACCCAGGCCATGAGCTCCAGGCCGCAGACCTGGGTACCCCATCCACACAAGGCCACAGCGGCAGACCAGGGTGTCCTCTGAAGTCATCTGAAGTGTGCATATATATCGGACACCTCCTAGTTTCCAAACCCTGCTGGCCTTCCAAGGTGCACTGGAAAGAATGCTGGGTCTGGAATCAGACAGATGTAGGTCCAAACCCTGGCTCTGCCATTTACCTCGGCAGACCATTTCACCCGTGCGAGCCTCAGTTTCCTCTTATGTGCAATGAATATTAGGGCAAAGTATTTAAAGAACGAAGCGTATCAATGCTGAATACAAGCGGCTGTCTTCCTCACTCTCCTCGTGGTTTTGGAGAAGGAAGGCTCCCAGAATCTCCTCGGTGGAAGGGACTTTAATGGTCACCCAGCCCATCTCCCCAGCCCCCCGTGGCTGCCCCACCTCCTCACGTCCCTTGATAGGAAGGTCTCTCCTTCCTGAGGTAACCACTTCTGCCTTTAGGCAACTCCGGTGTTCACAAGTTGAGTTGAGTTGAAACCTGCCTCTCACCCTCCGGTTCCTGCTCTACGTCCTGAATTCAATCCCATCCCTTCCCTAGGCACCTTTCCCGTTCCTAAGGCCGTGTTCCAGGTTCAGGGGACACAGATGTGAACGAAGCAGGCCAGGCCCCCCAAGGTGGCAACTCTACCCCGAGTCTTTCCCGACTCCCTCGCTGCCTCCTACAGCCGGCGGAGCCTCCACTGTGGACGGGCACTTCTGCGCTCGCTTGGCACCCAGTGGACAGGGGAGTAGTGATGTTTCCCCCACCCATGGGGCGGGGAAATCCACTTAGTAATCCACTAAGTCTCTTTCACGCAACATTCGAGTGTGGACTGTGCCCCACTCCCTACGCCCCCCCAAATCCCTCCCTCACCGGTCTAGCCTCCACCCCGCCAATGGGAAGTGGGCTGCCCTCATCACATCACATTCTGCTCACGGTACTTAAACTTGCTCCTGTGGCCAGTGGCTGAAAATCCGCACCCCATGGCCTGCCAACCAGGGCCTCCCCATGGTTTGCAGAATTTCCTGACTTTTTTCCTAACAGTTGCTCCTGGTTCTCCAAACTCCCACCCAACAGAATCCTTTCCACTCTTTGAGGAGACACTGGGTAACTGCTTACCTGGAGGGCTTGCTCATGGGTGCCTCTGCCTGAAAAGCCCACCCCAGTCTCTATCTGTTGAAATCTCCATCAGCCCAGTGCATGTTTGATAAAATCCATAAAAGCTTCCCAGTCGCCAGTTGGGAAAAAGATGTTTCCCTGCTCAGGACTGAGACCTCCCCTCCTGCCCTAGGGCCAGCTCGCTGTTGTCCACCCAGCATTGTGGGCTGGTGGTAAGAGTGGGGGGGGGATTGGGGGGGGCTGCCCCCGCTATGTACATTTCCACAAAGGAGAGAGACATTCCACTGCACACCCCAGGAGGGAAACATATGCGAGACCCCCCGGGTGTCCCCTGGCCCCCTTCCTCCCCACTTGATTGGCAAGATTGGAGGAAGGACCAAGTGCTCTCCTAAATACTCATACAGTACTTACTATGTGCCAGACACAGACAGTCCCAACCCTTTACAAAGATGAACAAATATGAACCCATTAGATCTTCACAAGATGCAGGTGCTCTTATGGATACTATTGCCTTTTCACAGATAAAAACTGAGCCAGAGGCCGGGCGAGGTGGCTCACGCCTATAATCCTAGCACTCTGGGAGGCCGAGGTGGATGGATTGCTCAAGGTCAGGAGTTCCAAAGCAGCCTGAGCAAGAGCGAGACCCCGTCTCTACTATAAATAGAAAGAAATTAATTGGCCAACTAATATATATAGAAAAAATGAACCGGGCATGGTGGTGCATGCCTGTAGTCCCAGCCACTTGGGAGACTGAGGCAGGAGGATCGCTTGAGCCCAGGAGTTTGAGGTTGCTGTGAGCTAGGCTGACGCCACGGCACTCACTCTAGCCTGGGCAACAAAGCGAGACTCTGTCTCAAAAAACAGAACAAAACAAAACAAAACTGAGCCAGAGACATTAAGTCACTTGCCAAGGTCACGCAGCACAGCTAGTACAAGGATTTGAACTTGGTCAGCCCGGCTCCAGAGTCCGTGCACTATGCTGCCTCCTGATGCACTTGGCGTGGCCCTTTCTCTCCCTCTCTTTTGGGGAGGCGCTACTCCCATCCGGCACGTGGTTGGCACGTGCTTCAGGGCCAGGCCCTGCCGTGGGGAGGCAGCTCTGGAGACCTGCTGCTCTCTGGCCCCACTACCAGCCCCCAGGTGTGCAGCCGTGATTCAGGGACAGTGCATCTGCTCTGGGGACCCAGCTCTGCCTTAGACGGGTCCCCCACAGTCCGGACTGGGGGAGGGAAGCAGAAAGACCACATTCTCCAAGTTGAAGACGCTGATCTCCAAGCTGCTAACCTGCCTGGCGCTCGAGCTGGAAGGGAGGGAGCCACGAGATCAGTGATCACTCCGTCCACCCAGAGACAGAGATGACAAGGCACAGGCCTGTGCTCTAGGAGCTCAGACTTGTTCAAAGGTGCCTGTCACAGAGGGCCCTCGGCTGCAAGCGAGGGCCGTAGCTCCTTTCACAGATAGGAGGACACAGCCAGAGGAGAGCTGAGAGCAAGGGTTTCTGGACAAACGCACGCAGACGTGATTTCTAACTCCACCACTCACTTGCTGTGTGACCTTGGGATAAGTCACTTACCCTCTCTGAGCCTATGTCCTCATGTGCACAGTAGGGATAATAATCCATATCCATAAGGAGCGCCAAAAGGGTTAAATGAGACAAGCTGTGAGAATCCCTAGGCCAAGTTAGCCCCGTACATGCTTAACCGATGCCAGGGCTCGCCCCTCTCTGCTTGCAGGGGGAGGCCTCGCACCTGGCACATGGCGAATGAATAAACAATAGCACGTTCTCTCACATTTCTTCATCTGCGGAACACTCCTAACTCATAGGCCCTTTCATCCCTGTTTTTACAAATGGGGAGGCTGAGGCTCAGAGAGGTGACGCGGCAGTGTGGCCAGGGCAGGACTCACACCCGGGCTGAGCGGCTGGGGCAAGTGCTCTCCCACCCGGAGCTCACAGGGGCTCTGCTCCGGAGTGAAGTCCGTGAAAGTGCTCATTCAGCGAGCGCCGGGAGGGAGTCGCACAGCCCCACAGGCCAGGAAATGCTTGCCTGGCTGCCTCCCAACGCAGGCAGATGAAAGCCAGTAACCAGATCCTGTCGGGACGGAGGGGAAACCGAGGCGGACGGCGTGAGTGATGAGAGACGCGCTCGCACATCGTGAGGAAGGGGCCCCCTGCTTCCCACATCTGGAGGAGCATGCGGGCCTTGTTTCATGTCATCTCACGCCGCCAGAAAGATGCAGACCCCTTGGCCAGGGTTCAGAGCGGATCAGGAGGCATGATTCAGAGCCGGGAGGGACACGTGTGAGAAAAGATTAGCAGAGAAGGAAGAGACAAGGCTGGGGTGACTCAGGGCAGATCAAAGCGGGGGGACTCAGCGAGATGAGATGAGGGATCTTTTCCTGGGGCCTGGGGGGCAGGGCTGCTCTGGACGCAAGAGGGAAGCTCAGACAGGGCTTTGGAGCCGGGGCCAGGCCGGGGACATGGGGTCCTGAATGGGGAACAGGAGGGAAGCCGCACCCTTGGATGCCGGGGGCTCAGGTCTCGCGGGTCAGCGCTGGTCCGTGTGGTGCGGCGCACAGACCACCTGTGGTGACACGGCAGGTTCCTGTCCTGGCTCTGCTGCCTGCCTGCTGTGTGACCTCAGGCAGGTCACTTCCCTCTCTGGGCTTCAGTGTCCTCCTCACTCAATCAACGTATGTTTCCTGAGGATTGACTGTGTGTTGGACACTGCCAGGCACTGGGGACAGTGATTCAGGTGGAACCGTAAAGTGCCGTGCAGGAGAAGTTACATGAACATCAAAGAGGAGCTCCCGACCATGTCCGGGAGGGTGAGAAGCTGCGTCCAGACTGGGCAATGCTGCTTTACACCACTGCCCCTGGCTGAGCTGGGCCCTGTCTGCCTCCTCTTCCTCCCCAGATCATCGCTTTCACTGAGGGTCGTCACCTTGTACAAACAGGACTGGGAGCTCCTTGAGGGCAGGGACAGGAGCTGACTCCCCAGCCTGCCCATGCCCAGCTCAGGGTCGGCGCAGGAGAACCAGCCAATGCAAATATTGAAGGCATGGGTGGACCGACAGTGTGCAGGGAACACTGTGGTCAGTTAAAGGCACAATGGCCGACATTCCCCACCCTCTCTGTACCCACCCCATTGCAGTGTGACTCTGAAGCTTCTTACGTCAAAAGGTAGAGTCTTTTGCTTTGATCAATAGCATACATCAGAAATTGCAACGTGCCTGATCCCAGGTTACATTTGGAGAGGCTGGTATACCACTGTCCTCTCTCTCAGAACCCTGCCACACCATGGAGACAATCTCAGACTAGCCTGCTGGGGGATCAGAACTGAGTTCTACCAACCAAAGCTCCAGAAATGTGGAAGAACCTGGCTGAGATCAGCAGAGCTGCCTACCTCACCCATAGCTGACCACAGATGTATGAGTCCAGAGGGATCTTCAAGCTGACCCATAGGCTTGTGAGCAATGATAAATGCTTATCATTTTATACTACTAAGTTAGGGGTTATTTGTTACACAGCAGAAGCTAACTGATACAAACAAATAAATGAATGAAAGTAAATGTACAATACAGACACAGTAGTTAAGGGGGGGGGAATGCCAGCCTCCCAGTATTCTCACCTTATACACATCATGGCTTCCCAAAACAGCATCAAACAGCGTGTAGAGATCATTGAGCAAGCCCACCACCTCAATGGGTTCACTCAGGGCTGAGATGGTGGTAAAACCCACAATGTCACTGAAGTATATGGTGACCTGGTCAAAATACTCCGGCTCCACAGTCACCCCCATTTTCAGAGCTTGGGCCACAGATCTGAAGGGATGGGAGGGGCAGGTATCACAAGATGGGAGGGCCCCTTTTTATAGTTCAGAGTTTAGGGAGGGATATTTGGGAGGAAATCCTGGGTTGAGCAGCAGGGGATCTGGGACAGGTCCGCTGGCGTGCTGGCTGCCCTGCAGCAAATGCCTGAGTGAGATGGGGGCACTGTGGCCCCTCCCTGCCCCCAAGGGTGAGAGGGCAGGAATTCAACACTCGCCTGCCCAGCACAGCCCCTCACATGGCGAGGGCTCTGGGAAAGTATGCTGGACAAGTAAACTTGAATGAATGAATTGAATGAATTCATGGAACCCATGGGTGTGGGGAGCACCCACGGTGTTCCCGGTCCCATGCTCAGAGACGAGGACAGAGGCACACCCGAGCTGCCGGGGCCACTCACCGAGGGAGCATCTGGGAGAGCAGCCTTTCTGTCTTCTGCCTCTCCAGCTCCAGCTCCTCGGTCCGCTCCTGGACCAAGTCCTGCAGGTGCCGCGAGTACGTCTCCAGCATCCGCAGCATAGAGTCGGCTACGCTGGCCTTCTTGCCGTGGGTGATGCTTTTGAACTGAAGATGGGAGAAAGATCCCAGTGCACCCCTGAAGCCCAGCACACCTGGCCCCCAGCGGGGGAGTCCGGGGCCACAGGAATGCACCAGACGGAGTCCCTGCCTGGACAAGCTGCACTCCTGCGGGGAGCAGATATGTAAGTAGACAGGGGATAGTGGCTCCGACAAGGGAGAAGCCCAGTCTGTGAGGAGAAAGGGGTTAATTCTGTGTGGGGTGGGCAGGCAAGAAGAGGACGTTGCAAAGGAGCCCATGGCCAGTACAGCATTGCTGTTAACAGAAACAGCCTCATCGGCCACTGCAATGTCTGATCCCCGGAAAGATTCCAGGCTGGTGTCTTAAGAGCTGGTGGCTTGTCCTGGCTCTGCTGCCCACCCTCACAGTAACCGCTTGGAGCTCACTACTCCGAGGGGCAGGTTTCCCTCTGCGAAGTGAGCCCCCCAGTGCCGCGGCTAAGGTGGGGCGGGGATGCCGGGGGCTTTTCAGAGGACACCTGTAGGCTTCTCCTCTGTCTGCCCTGCGGCTTCTCACTCCCTCATCACCTGTGCTGATGCCCTCCCTGGCTCGCTGAACCTCTCTTGGCAACCTTCCATTGTGGCTGGGGCATGCAGCGCGGGAAGGAGAGGAGTGAAGCTGTCACCTCGGGCCTGATGGGTGGCCCCGGGGTGCCGTCGGCCAGCTGGGTCGGCCCACGCACTCCACCGCCATCCCGCAGACCGGCACGGGCTTGCCTCGCCCCTCCCGCTGCAGTCCCCACAGCAGGCCGGGGCTCCGCAGGGCCCTGGCATCTTCCTCCCACTGACTCAGGAAGTAGCGCTGTCTCCACAGCCACCAGGAACGGCCTCTCGGCTCAGGCGCCAGGAGCCGGTGCAGGGTGGGGTTCCCGGCACAGCTGTGCAGACAGACAAAGCTGGGTCTGGACTGCAGGCCCCACTTTCACTGTTACGCTGTCGCAGCTGTGCTGGGCAAGTCCCCTCACCTTGCCACCTTGTTTCTCTCCTGCAAAGCCGAGATAATAGCACTGCTTCTCTAGAGGGCGGCCGTGAGGGTCAGAGGAAGGAAGTGCGGCACTTAGCTCAGGGCTTGGCACCAGAAAGGCGTCTGGACAGATGTCCCTGGAGCCCGTGATCCGTAGAGAACTCTCCTTAGAGGGTGGCCCCCATGGGTGGTGGTGCTGGCGGTGGCCCCTTATGGCATGGCATTTCCAGGCCCCAGGGACAACATGGGGCTCACACTGGGCAAAGTAAGCGGAAAAAATGGGCCATTTCTCCCGAGCACCCGCTCCTCCGGGAGCACTCACCTGGGTGTGGATCTGGTCCAGGCTCGGTCTGTCCTCTGGAGCCTCCTCCCAGCACTGCTTCATCAGCTGGATGCACTCAGGTGACCCGTGGTCCGGGGACACCAGCGGACGGAACAAAGGAGAGGGAGATGCCACCTTCCTGATGATTTCTGCAACAAACACCGTGGGGGCCGTGGGCCTGAGGTGCTGGGAGGGCTCACAGGAGAGGGCTGGCTCCGATGCTGAGAGGTAGGGCAGGGTAGGCCTGTAGGGGTGTGCGGTTTGGGCCCTAAGGATGCTCCTCCGCTCCTGTCTTCTGCGTCCAGGGCGTGGCTGGACAGTGGATGTGACATTGCTGCTTTCCTGGGTCTGCCCCAGGGTGTGCCCAGGGCACAGGTCTCAGACTGGGAGCTGGGAGAGCTGGGTTTGAATTCTGGATCTGCCACTACTTTCCTATGAGTTGGTGGGCAGGACAGTGGCCTCTCTGAGTCTCAGTCTCCCCATCTTTGAAATGAGCTTAATAAACTGCCTTCGAGAGAGGGGTGCCAAGGAGGAGATGACGGACTTTAGGTGCCTGGCACCTAAAAGGCTCTCCCCCACCCCCAGGCCCTGCAGCAGCTGCCGCTGCTCTGTTGCCAGCGATGCCCACACTGTGGCTCTTTCCTCCAACCCTGCCACCCGGAGGCTGGTGCCAGCTCCCAGGAGTGTGAGTAAGACAGCCCACTTGTCACCACCATCATCCTCCTCGTTCTTATTTCCCCAAGTCAACCCTGCCTGCGTCATCCTGTCCCCACACCAGACCAACCCAAGGGTAGACAGATCAGTGTTCTACTGCTGGCTCTGCCGTTTGCCATTACACTGTGCCTCAGTTTCCCCACCTAACAACTGATGCTATAACTGCTGTCTCGGGAGGCTGTTGGAGAGCCAGGGGAAGCTGGGAGAGTCTGCAATAGAGTGGGAGGAGGAGGGGATGACTCCAAGCTCAGGCTCCTGACCACCAGATCAGAACTGACTTCCAGATTATCCATTTACATTCTCTCAGAGCCTCAGTTTGCTCACCTATAAAGTGGGTGTAATAATGGCCCATGCCCCAAGGGCTGTTACGAGGCAGAGCAAGTTAATCTCCTCTGGGGCAGGCTGGGACCCTCCTTGCACGAGTGAGGGAGAGGGGAGTCCCTGGAGCCAGTGACGAGACACTTCTCTGGATTTCAGTCCCCTCCCATCCCTCACTTGGCTTCCTTGTTAGGGACAGTGCATGAGTCACTGTCCCATTTTACAGACACGGACACTAAGGCTGCTGGGGGTGAAGCAGGGCACCCACACAGGGCGGTAAAAAGTAGACTCGAGAGCTGGGCCAGGTTCCGAGTGGCCAGAGCTTCCCAGCCTGCAGCGTCAGACCCCCCGCGGGCCCCACATGCGTGTCTGGGAAGCTGTTGTGCACACAAAGGAGCGTGTGCAGATGGAACCAATATGCATCACATGCACACATGTACGGCTATTTCTCAAAAGCATGCCGATGGCACCGTAATGAATACAATACAAATCCACTTCAAAGTGGGGCTGGTTTCAGAGCAGATCTTGTCATCGGGTATTTCCTCCGTCAGCGGATATTAAAAGTCAAATAACAGCATGGGAGGCTCCGACCTTCTCTGACATTCGAATCAAGTCTGCATATGTGAGCATGCTGAGACCCTCTGCCCCAGGCCAGGCCTCGCGTTCCCCTCGTGGTGCCAGGCACGCTGTCAGCACCCAAGCCACCACTGATGGATCGCCCCGAGCTGCCGGCTGCCAGAGGCCGGGTGGGGCCTGGGCAGATGCTCCGTGGATGACTCCAGGAGATCTTAGGGCAAGAGCACTGGACTTGGATCGGGGACTTCCACCCGCCATCCCACTGCTTCCCCTTTGAGAAGTCCCTTCCTCTCTCTGAGCCTCGCTTAACTCAGCTCCGTAAAGGGGGCAGTTGCCCACCTCCCAGGCTTGTCCGATGACCAATGCACATGAAAGGGCTTTGGAAACGCAAAGGGCCCTGCGAGTGTAGGAGCTGAGAAGGACGTTCGAGTGAGGCGCGAACCCGGGGCCCCTCATCAGCGCACTCCTGACGGCACCCAGCGGTGCTTACTCAGTGCCACCGTGCGCCAGGCACTGTGTCTAAAGCTTTTCCCTGCATCCTCACAGCTCCTCTGGAAGGCAGGCCTCGTGCCCTCCACTTTACAGAGAGAAACTTGAGGCTTAGAGCCTAAAGAGACTTACTCAAAGCAGTCAGGTGGGTTGGGTTGGAGCTGGGCTTCGGTTGGTGTCCCTCAAATCCTGTGTCCTTAACCCTGTCCTCCCTGGGGCCAGAGAGAGCACGCCCCAGGAAGCAGGCCCTGGCCTGACAGCCCTGTCCAAGGGTGGCCAGAGGGTTCCCGGCCTGGGTCCCTGCCTGGAGGGCTTTGCACTCAGCATGGCTCGCAGATCCATCCGGTGGGTCCCCCCTCCCGCAGAGGCAGATGTGGGGGAGGCAGCTGAGGAGTGTTGAACAAATGGCCGGATAAAGCCCCCTCCTTCCCACTGCCCCACCTCATAAATCTGGGGCCTGGAATGCTCATTACTCCGTGGTCCGTGCTGCGGTGGAGAAAGGAAGGGGCCAGGCCTCCTGCGAGCTAAAGATTATCCATCAGCGGTGGGGGCGACAGAGGGCTCGGCTCTGTCACTGCCCTGCACTATGGGCTGGGCGCCAGGGTGCCTGTGGGGACAACCGGAAGAGCAGCCTGGGGGCCAGCGAGCCCCGACAGAGAACACAGAAGGGAGGAAACATTTCTAGACTTGGGCCCTGGCACTGGGGCAGTGACAGTGGGGAAGGCCTGAGTGGTTATCCTGTGATTATCCTGTGTGTGGGGACAGAGGTGCTCTTGAAGGAGCCCTAGCTGAGCAGGTAACTAAGCCCCTAAATATTGAGCAACCTATTCAATCACGGGACTGGGCATCTGGCACTTTTTTTAACTGGATCCCCATTTTAAAGATGAGAAAACTGAGGCTCAGAGAGGGTAAGGGATTTGTGTAAGGTCACAAGATATGTGTAAGTGATACAGCCCGGGTAGGACTGAGGTCTGCATAGACACCAAGTCTGTGCTGGGCTGGAGGGGAGGTGCAGTCAGGGCATGAGCACCAGCAGACATGGCAGTGACACTGGGGAGGAAGGAAGGGGCTGGGGTTTTCACCCAGAAACTCAGGTCATTAGCCCCTGGAGCTGGGCAGCTGCCATCCTGGCGGGGTTGTGGAAAGCTGCCTGGCTGAAGTCGAGGAAGCCCAGTTCTCATGGTCATACTTTAGGTTTGCGTGTCTATGTGTTTATTTTCAAGCCTGGACTTCCTGACGGTCACAGAGTTCCCTGGCCACAAGGAAACTCCAGCAAGGGACAAGCTGAGGGTGGAGAGAGGACCCCGTACCTTCTGCTGAGAGTCCCAAGGAGCAGTAGGGCGGGCCTCGCGTCAGCACCTCCTGCAGGATGACGCCAATACTGAAGATGTCCCCCTTGAAGGTGCCCGGCCCGGGCCCTGCAGGCTCCCGCAGCAGCTCAGGAGCCGTCCACAGCAGCTCTGCAATCACAGGGCAGGGCCGCCCACCGTCACCCACTGACCTCACACCTGTGGCATCCTCATGCCTCCCTGCACCCTGGGAGGATGAGGGTGTATTCTCCCTGATTTGCAGGGAAAGAGCCTAAGGCTTTCAGAGAGCAAAAGCGATCAGCCCAAGGTCATTCCGCAGAAATGAGGAATGGGAGAGGACAGGAGATCTCCCCGCTTCCCTGCCATACCAGCACGAGGAGTAAACAGAGACCTCAGAACCCACCGGCAGCTCCCTGCCCACCCCTGAGCTGACCTTCTGGGGCTGGCCGGGGTCGTGGAGCCCGCTGAGCGTCCAGGAGTGCTGCATAACCGTGGTCAGTGACTTTGAGCACAAAGCGACCGTCCACCACGCAGTTTCGGGACTTGAGGCGGCCGTGGGGGAAACCTCGATGGTGCAGATACCGCATGCCCTGGGGTGCACGTAGGGGGGTCCATTCGGTCTGTGCTGATGCGAGGGGCCCTGAGGCCCTCAGAGCTCCCACAGGCCCCAGGAAGCCCTCCTGCTCACCTCCCCCTTGGCCGCGATGTTTAGGTCTTCCTCAGTTAGACACAGCAGGGAGAGCCCAGGTGTGGGGAGCCCGAGCCTCTCTGTCTCCCTGCCCTCCCCATTGCCCCACAGCTCCAGGCCTGGGGAGGGTTCTCACGCGGATCAAATCCAGCAGCAGGGAGGCCTTGAAGGTCCAGTCTAGCGGCAGGGCCTCGTTCCGTAGCAGGTCCTCCAGGCTGCCCCGGGGGCAGTGCTCCAGTACCAGCGCGCTGGCGCCAGGGGCCACGAAAACGCCCAGGCAGGTGGCAACGTTCTCATGCTGAAGCTCCCGCATCTGCCAGGGCAATGGGCACCTTAGCAGCGCCCAGGGGCCCTTTGAGGATGGGTGGATATATGGATGGTGGATGGTTGTGGGCAGATAGATGGTAGATGGTGGATGATGGGTGGATAAGTGTGGATGGTGGATGGTGGGTTGATGGATGGGTGGATGGTAGATGGTAGGTGGATGGATGGATGGATGGATGGATGGATGGATGGATGGATGGATAAGTGGATGGTGGATGAATGAGAGCATGAAAGAATAAGTAAACAAGTGAGTGAAAGCACTGTGAATGAATAAGTGAATGTATCCAACTCCACAAATTTGGTATGTATGCCTGTTTCCCAACCTAAGTGATAGCATGGACCTGAAAACTGTATGCATTCTCTTTCCCAAGACTGAGGGATTGAGGAGGATGGAGGAGGAGCAGAAGGGATCAGGCATAAGCAGAAAGCAGCCTCTCCGATGGCTGCCCAGCGAGTTACAAAACTCGAACCCAACCAGGGACACCAGCCCTGGCCAGAGCAGGAAAGACAGAAGCCTTGCCTGGCACAGCCCTCCTCACAAAAACAGTTCAGGGGGCAACTAGGTCGGGGAAACCTACATACTCTCCCCGCTCAGAGATTCGCAAGCATGTTAGCATATGAGGTGATTTAGGAATGGCCTCCATTCCTTTGACACTCTCGTCATCAAAAGGTGGGACTCTGTCCCCTCCCCTTGAATCTGAGTGGCTCTGTGACTTCTGTGACCAGTAGCATACAGTGGAAGTGGACTTGTACCTTTCTGGGTTCAGGTTTTAGGAGACTGGCAGCTTCCATTTCCTGTCTCTTAGAACATCCTCCGTTAGCGCCCTGAACCAGCAGGTAGGAAGTGCCACCCTGGGTCACCTCGCTGGAGAGACCACACGGAGAGGCCCTGAGACTACAGAGAGGAAAGACAGATCCGGTTGAGCCCAGGTTTCCGACCACCCTGCCAAGGCACAGTGTGGGTGAGTGAAGCCTTTTTGGACCCTCTGGACCAGCAAACTTTTCTGTAAAGGTGCAAAGAGTGAGTATTTTCGGCTTTTTAAGCCATACACTCTCTGCCACAGCTCTTCACCTCTGCCGCAGTAGCACGAAAGCACCAGAGACAGCACACAAGGAGTGAGCTCGGCTGTGTTCCAATAAAACTGTACTTGCACAAGCAGGCAGCGGGCCTGGTTTGGCCTGTGGGCTAAGCTCTGACAGTCCCTTTATTAACGCCAGCTGAATACCCCCGAGTGCTCCCAACAAATACTGAGAGGATGGAAGACTTGCCTGCTGCGTCCTTGCCAAATTTCTTACCCACAAAATTGTAAGATTATTATAAAATGGTTATTGTTTTACCACATTTTGGGGTAAATTGTTACACAGTGATCGATAGCATATTAAAGGTTCTGAGAAGTCCTGTGGCTAACCCAAGCAATTGTCAAACCTATGTGGCCACATGTAGGACATTTTCTTTCAAGAAACATCTACTTGCACTGCTTGCAAGGTGCCCAGTGGGAAATGCCTAACTTAACCTCAGTCACTTAATCTCTCTGCACTTTATTTCAGATAGTGGTGATATTGGGAATAATAATAAAATTCACTACTTATAAAAAAAAACACTGCTTGCCAGGAACAGTTTTAGGTTATTTCATATGTTCTCTGCAATCCCATAATTCCCCTGGAGGTGGACATCACAGTTCCATTTGACAGGAAAGCTTGAGTGTTCATGAGGCAGGATTCTATCTGGGGTCTTCCCGACTCAAATCCTGCGCTCTGTCCTCCATCCCCCAGTGCCTCTCAAAGTGATGATGCCCTCAGGCGTGAAGGTGCTTGTGTGGTTAGTGATGACAAGTGACTAGAATCTCCCGAGGGAAGGAGCCCTGTCTCTCTTCCTCACTGAGTATCCCCAAAGCCCAGAACACTGCCTGGCTCATGAGTGATGCTCAGTAAATAGTGAATAAAGGGGAGGGAGGGAGGGTGCAGGACAAGGTCCCTTGGTGGTGTTGAGTGCGCCATGTGGTGGCACTGATGGAGGGGACTGTGCCCCTGGTGGGCTTGGATAGGTCATATTGGGGTGGTGACCTGGCTTTAGGAATGCTGGTGTGTGTGGCCGTGACAGTGACAATGTACAGCCATGGTTGAAGTGCTGTCAACGAGCAGGATTGCAATGACAGGGGTGACTTCATCCCTGCAGCCAGAAGCTTCCAGGTTGAGGAGGGGCCAATCCAGAGCAGTCGGGTCTCCTGAGCAGCCCCTCCCTGCCCACCCCGCAGCCCTACCTTTCTCAGGAGGCGGAGGCAGCTCGGGCGCAGCTCGGGTGGCAGGCCCACTTCGAACCTCTTCAGCCACACCCAGTCTCCCTGTGCAAGGCAGAACAACGCGAGCTCAGCCACCGCTGTTCCCCAGCTGCAGGACCTCGGGAGGGTCCCTCCACCTCCCTCAGCCTCAGCTTCTTCCGCACAAACACCGGCTCCGTGCACTCCCCGCCAGGCGGAAGCTGGTCAGCTGCAACAGCCGTTAGACTTGTGCTGTCACCCGGCAGAGCCAGGGGCCAGGCTTCGGCTGATGGACCTGAGTTCCAGTCCCGACTCCACCACTTTCTAGCTCTGTGGCCAGGGGCGGGCGACTTCAGTTCTCTGAGCCACGTGTTCCGAGTCTGTAAGGGAGGAGGACAGCGCCCACCGCGCCTCGAGGGCTCAGGGGACGGTGGATGTGAAGCACTCGCATTCTCAGCCTGGAGGTCGGCTTTGGCCTGTGGCTCCAGGCACCCATGACACCCCTAACCCTGGGAAGCACTGGGGTGACTGTGACCCAGGGACTCTAGGGGAGGAGAGGGGGAAGGTGGAGGAGGAGGGGCTCAGGTCAGGGCCCTGCCCTTGCTGTGGCCTGGCCCGGGGCTGGTGTGACCATAGCCTCCTCTGTCCCTCAGGCTCACTGGCAGCCCGACAGCTAACGCAGAGGGGCACACACAACATGCTTTGTACGTCATTAAAGCCTCCTTTCAGCAGCAAAGAAAAAAGGTGGAATTCCCCAGGGACAAGGTGGACAAGGAGGAGCAAGGGTCTCATGCCTCTTCCTACAGAAACAATTAGCCTGGCCCATCAACCACGAGAGCCGCTGAGTAGGAGAATCGCAGCGTCAGTGGACTGTTGAATTTGAGAATGACAGCACCGGAGAAATCACAGTGTCCCCGGCAACCTTCGAATCTTGCTGGGCTGACCTCTGGCTTTCCAGCTGCCCTGCCAGAGTGGCCTGGGCTCTGCGCACGGCTGTCCTGGGCTGGGTGCTGCTCCCCCTCAGGGCCTCGGAGACCCGGGATCTGACCTTGCCTAAGCTGCTGGGAGGGTGACCAGGGCTGGTCCCGGCGACTGAGAGAGGCCCTGGGGTGGCTCACTCGGGCAGTGCCCAGGCCCAAGTGCCCAGGAACTGGTTGTCTCCAGGCTCAGATCACACAGCTCGCTGGGCCAGGGTCGGAGCCCTGCTTCCCACTCCCAGCTCTGCTGCACACTTGGTCAGAGTGACCCAGGAAAGTCATTGCTTCTACCCAGGCCTCAGTGTCCCATTCTGTAGCAGAAGCGGGGACACAAAAGCCTAGGAGGCTATGGCTTCCCCAGCTTCTCCAAACTGACTGCAGTCCCCCAGGTCTGGGGTACAGGGCCACGTTGGTGGGCTCACCTGGTACAGGGCCACGTTGGTGGGCTCCTGGGGGGCTGGCAGGCTCCTTGCTGAGCCCTGGGCCACCGACTTCAGGCTCCCACCATCCACCACACTTCTTGACTCACTGTCCACACGCAGTCTCTGGAGGCGATGGGTGTGGTCAGGACCCCAGACCAGGCCCCAGGGCACGTCCTGCCCGCCCAGCTCAGCCCCTGCCCCACACACCCGTCTGCTCAGGGGCCGATGGACGAAGGTGAGCTCCTGGGCGGTCAGCAGGATCCAGTGGCGACCCCGCACTAGCCGCAGCCGCTGGATGCACAATCTGGAGGCAAGAGAAAGTGCAGGGCAGGGGGTGGTGCAAACGTCACCCCCACCTCGGGCTGGCCCCTTGGCCCTGCCTCTGACTCAGAGCCCTCCTTTCCTCTCCATTTCCAGCTCTGTCTCCCAGGCAGTCCCCACTGGGCAGGGAGGACACTGGGCACTGTCTCCAAGGAGCCCCCCAGCCTCAGGCTCAGGTCTGGACTCCTAGGGCCCGCTGCACCTGCTGGTCCCAGCCTCAGTGCTCCCAAGTTGCCTGGAGGCCTCACGGGGCAGCCCGGGTGAGGGCTGGGAGCAGAAGGCTGCCCACTTCCAGATGTGCCAAGATTCAGACATGGTCTGGATTCAGGAACACAGAGGAGCTTAGACTCAGGGAGGACTGTTTTTAGAGCTGAAGGATCTTTGCGGTTCATCCTGGCCAGCCCTTCACTGAACAGAAGGAGAGCCTGAAGCTCAGGGACGGAGTCATGTCCAAGATCATAGGCTTCTTCCTCAAGTCTCAAACAGACCTTCCAGGAGGCCGCTAGGGCCTTGACCAGTCCTGGCCGGGGCTCTAGAGTGGGCAGGGTCGCGGAGGGGCCCTGAGGTCCCAGGAGAGGGAGGCTGGGAAAGCAGATTGCCTGGCTGTGCCCACAGGAGGGAGGCCTGACGGGGGCGGGGTGGAGAGGCAGAGCCAGGCCCTCACCTGGTACAGAGTCTCACCTGAGGAGCCAAGCGAGGGCCCCGCCGGCCAGCGCCAGGAGGCAGGCCAGCGCCAGAGCGGGCAGGCTGCCCAGGGGCCGCGCATCTGTGGGGAAGCAGGACAGACGGGAGTCATTACAGCGACACTGCACGGCAAGGACAGCCCCCTTCACCACGCCCCTGCAGTCACTCACTCCCACAGTTCCTCCCTGGAAATGGGCACACAGCCTCTGCCCAGCCCCCATCCTAGGGGCGAAGCTCAGAGCGGCTCCTGGCTGGGGAAGTCCTGCCCGTGGGCAGACTGTCACGCACAGATGGCAACTCCCAGTGCTGCTGTCTGGGCACTCACCTCGGGCTGCCCCGCAGCTCGCAGGCCCTGCTCAGACGCCATCATGGTCCTGATCACACTACGGCGTTTTGTCTGCCCACGTGTCAGGCCCCTGACCACTAGACTGAGAGCAGCTGGACAGCAGGGCCTCTGCCTAACTCCCCTCGGCAAGCCTGGCACCTAACACAGGCCCGGACAGGGTAGGTGCTGGATAAAAAACTGTGCAAGGCATCCTTGTCAGTGGTCACCCTACTTCTTGCATGCATCCTGCAACCAGCCACTCACTACCTGCTTTGGCAGCCAGTTTCACTATGGGATGGCTCTGTTAGAAGAGTCCTTACACTGAATCTAAGTCTCTAGCCCTTGTGTCAGGAGGGGCTGTTTAGGACCACCAGGCGAGGTAGGGAGGGCTACCTTGCTTGGGCAACCCCAGCACCAGCATGGGCTGGTCAGGTGGGAAAATGCCCAGCGCCAGTCTGGAGAGAGAACATTGACCTCTGCTGCCACATGTCTTCTTCCCTCCTTGCCTCCCCCCCGCTTCCTTCTGTTAGAGCACAAGCACTGTTCCATCTGCCCCTCCTGCAGTTCCCCACTCTGAATGGAGTCCAGGTAATAACAATAGCAGCAAGTACTCCGTGGCACTCACTTTACAGTTGTACATGGCACTGTTCTAGGCACCTGTGCTAGGGATGTCATGTGCTTCAGTGTAGTTATTCCTGGAGGTAGGAATGACTTCTGGAGGTGGCTGTGGTCATGACCATGATTTTGCAGATGAGGAAACAGAGGTTAAGTGACTGAGAGTGGCAGGGCCTGGGTTCAAACCCTCGCAGTTTGGCCGCGGCGCCTGGGCTCTTGCCCACGGTGCATCCCGCCTCTCACCCGGGGCTGGCAGGAAGGAAGACTGAATCGGGACCTGGAGGAGGAGCGGGGACAAGCCGCACGGCAGGTGTGGAAAAGCACTCCAGGCCCGGGAGCGGCAAGTCCAGAGGCTGCGAAGCAGGAGTGTGCCGGCCACGTTCCAGGAACAGCACACAGGCCAGGGCGGCGGGGCAGAGCAAGTGGGAGGCATGCGGGCAGGCAGGTGACGGGGACAGTGCCCCAAGAAGTCCACTGTGAGGACTCTGGCTCACCTCCGAGCGAGGTGGAAACTTCTGCAGATGTGAGCAGGGCGGAGGCAGAACCGATCATGTCTTCCAAGGCTCGGGGCGAGGGCAGACGCAGGGAGGCCTTGGGGACATTGCTGCCCTGGCCAGTGAGAGAGGACGGGTGCCCGCAGCAGGGTGGTGGAGAAGGCAAACTCCCAGGCTGGTGCTACTGCTCAGGGTCCTGCCACTCCTGGGTGCCCCCTCTTAGATCCCTGTCCACCTGCCTTTACCCTTCTGTCTCCCTCCATCATGGGGCCTGGCAGTGACCACGAATCTTATCTGCCGTCCCCTCAATTTTCAGCACTGAGCTCAGCACATAGTGGATGCTCTATAAATGTTTGCAGATTGACTTATTGAATGAGTGCATTAAAACCTGCCCCAGGGTGAAGTCTCTTGGGGGGGGGGAGGCTGTAAAGATCTCCTCTGGGCTCCGTCAGCCCCCAGCTGCCCTGGCATGGCTCTGACCACACTGGTGCTGGTGCCTCTGGCTGTTCTGTCTCTGCCACCAGACCGATGCACCTGGAGAGCAGAGCCTGGGTCTGATCTTCCAGAGCACCAGCCCCATGAGGCAGGGACGCTGCTTCATTCGCTCCCATATGCCCAGGGCTGAGCACTGTGACCCAAGCCTTAAAGGACAAGTAGGAGTTAGCCAGGCAAGGCTGGGGTGGCGGTGGAGAGCCAGGGAGAGGAAAATGCTGGAGTCAAGGGAAGCCTGAAAGTGGTGTGTATTTAGGGAAATGCAAGGAATCGGCTATGTCTATACAGCAGTGTTGGGAGAGGGGGCAGAGCCTCGGTCAGGAGGAGGATGGGGAGGCTTGGGGAGGAGCAGGGACATCAGCAAGCCTGGCCAAATCTGAGTTTGCCCACCAACAGCAGTAACAGTCACTAGGTGTGCACCAGGGAGTACGGGTGCATTTGTTTATATACACATGTGCGTGCGCATCTCTGCATGCGGATGCGTGTGTGTGTGTGTGTGTGTGTGTGTCAGTGTAATTTCATCAGGACGATACTCTGGAGGGATGAATGAGGGGAATCGGAAGGCATGTGCCTCCATGCCCCACACTCCCCAGCATCATGAGGAGAGGAATCCTGCACTTGGAGTCTACTGACTGAGGCTCAGCATGAGTTCAGCCGCCGCCTCCCTGTGTGTGACTTTGGGCAAGTCGCCAAACGCTTCTGAGCTTTAGCTCTGCACTGGTGCCCACAGAAGATAACGGCCTAGTCACAAAGCCATGGCGCAGGTTAGGAGGGCTGAGAGAGGGGAGGGTGCTCCGGAAGGGCTTTAGCCCTGCTCAGCTGAGGGGCATCTTGCTAGTGTTCCCTGGTGCTGCACAGCTGTTGGCTCAGTCTTCTCAGTGAAGTGTCAAGTCCCTTCTTTGCACCTGCCCCTGGATGGATGGATGGATGGATGGATGGATGGATGGATGGATGGATGGATGATGTGTGGACTGATGGATGGATGCACGGATAGATGGGTGGAAGGATGGATGATGGATGCATGGATGGGTGGATGGATGATGAATTACCTCTCATGCACAGTGTATCTGGGTCAAACCAGCAGCTGGAGTCATGGGCCGGAGGGGCTCCTCCTGGAAAGTGTATGGCCCTGCCCAGCGGCTGCACTTGCCAGGTGCCTGTGTCCAGGGTGTGGGTGGGGACCAGCTGGCTTCCTTGGCCATCTGTGTCCAGGACGATGTACTGGGCCAGCCTCCTGCCTTTCTCGTCTGTCCGGATCCTCTGGCTAAAGCCGGCCACATCCAGAGCCCGCGTGTGATCTCCTAAGTGGGCCCCCGAGAGCCCTGCCCCATGGCTCTCAGAGCGGTTCAGGGCATGGGCCAGCAGGACAACAGCGTCATAGATGGTTCCAAAGAGTGGGGACACCTGTGGAAGAGAAGGTCCCCCAGCCCCGTAACCCCATGGCACAGGCCCCCAGGCCTCTCTGAGTCCTGCCCTCCCGCCATCACCTGTGTCCCCACCGAGCAGGCTCACAGTCCCCACGGCCACCACCACAGGGGCCACCACCAGCTCCAATGTCTTGCAGGCACCTCAAACCTAGTATGTCCAAAGCAGAGCTCCTGGTTCTAGCAGATTCCACCTGTTTCTGCCACACCAAATCCCACTCCTGCCCCATTTCCCCCCATTTTAGGAAGTGGAACTACCCCTATTCAGTTTCTCAAGCTGAAAGCCAAGGCTTGACCTCGACTCCTTTCTCTCTTCCAGTTCATCGTCAAGTCTTTCGGGCTTTATTTCAGAATTTATCCCCAACTTAACTGACCTCCCACCGCCTCTATTCCTGCCAGCTGGGTCTGAGCCCCTCGCTGCTCACCCGGGCCACATGGGGGCCTCCCAAGGGCCTCCTGGCTCCCACTGGCCCTCCTCAGGCCATCCCTAGGAAGGCAACAAATGTGACTTTTTTAAATGCATAAATCAAATCATTTCTTACTTAAAACCCATTGGTGGTTTTCTATTTTACTTTCTGTAAGTGCAGACTTCTTTTCCTGGCCTATAGTGCTGCACATGCTCAGGCTCCAAGCCCATCTCCATCCCTCTTTCCATCACCTGTGACAGTCCAGCCACTCACTGCCTGTTTTTCCAACAATTGAAGCTCCCTCTGCCCCAGGGCCTTTGCGCTTGCTATTTCCCCTGTCTGTCTGCTCTTCACCCAGATCCTCAGCGGGCTGCCTCCTTATCACTCAGAGCCCAGCTCAAGAGCCCCCTCCTCAGAGTGGGCTCCCCGCCCCTCTCCTGTTGCCCGTGACTCCATCCTGGCATCTCTCTATTACTTTATCCTGTTCTGTTTTCTCAGCAGCATGATCACCACGTGAATTTAGTCATCTGGCTACCTGGCCGTCGTCCGTCTCCCCCCAACAGAATGGAAGCTCCCTGAAGGCCAGGTCTGTCTAGCTCATCACCATGTCCCTGACACCAGGCATGCTTCTTAACACCAAGAAGCAGAACTCCCGGGGAGACTCGCGTTCAGCTGAGTCCTGCGAGGCTAGACCCGGCGAGCAGCCACGCCCCCCAGCTCCAACACTGTCCCGTCCCCGCAGTGGCCTCAGAGACCCTGCCCTCCACCCCGGCCTCCCGCACGCCCAACACTTTCTCCCCCCGAACTCCATCATTTGCTAGGCAGAAGCAGAGCGGGGAGGAGGAGGCTGGGCCAGAAATGAGGATGGCAGGGATTGAAGGAGCTGGAGACAGAGAAACAGAAGCGAGAGAGACAGGAGGGGAACTGACATGGCAGTCAAAAGGGTGAGTGAAGGGTGAGGAAGAAGAGAGACAGAGAGACACAGACACACAGTAGTGCCCCCTGCCTTGCAATTTCACTTCCATGGCCAGTAGTGCTCTGAAAATATTAAGATATTTTGAGGGAGAGAGAGAGCAAGCACATTCACATAACATTTCTCACAGTATATTGTTATAATCGTTCTATTTGATTACTAGTCATTGTTAATCTCTTATTGTGTCTAATTTATAAGTTAAACTTTATCGTAGGTACATGTGTATAGAAAATACAGCACTTATAAGGGTTCAGCATTACCAGCAGTTTCAGGCATCCAATGGAGGTCTTGGACCATATCCCCTATAGATAAGGGGGGACTACTGTATACATATACATACATATATACTATACACATGTATGTGAGAGACAGAGAGAGAGACTAGCTATACCCAGTGACTAGGCAGAGAGACACTTTGTCAAGAAGAGACAGGCCACGTGCCCACAGTGGAGGCGGAACCGGGCAGCCAGATGGGTCACTGGCCAAGGCCAGGGAGGTGTGGAGTGGGTGAGAAGCGCGTGCTTCTGCAGGGACCTACCTGCTCTGGCTCCAGGTGGGCAGCCGCCTCTCCGCCCAGCTCGGCAGCAGCAAAGGCCTCGTCTGCGGGGCTGGACTCCAGGCTGACGGTGAGCACGGCGTCATAGGCCTCCTGCAGGGGCCCGCCGGCACCCAGGGCCGGGTAGGAGCGGTTGCGGTAGGGCAGGGCGAAGAGCAGGGTGTCGTAGGGCAGGAAGACCACCCTCCCGTCCGCCAGGCCCTCGGCCCGCGCACGGCTCAGCAGGGCGGTCTGCTCCGAGCCCCCCAGCAGCGCGGAGTGCATGCACAGCACCACAACTGGGGGCAGAGACAGCAGGGTCACCTTCGCGGGCCTAGTTCCCCGCTGGCCTTCCCCGAAGCCCAGAACTCCGAGGCCCTGGAGAGCTCGGAACTCTCAGACATCAGTTGGGCAAGGTGGAATTTCCCCTTAATCTGCTCCCTGCGCCCCCCCATAACAAAAATGGCCAAGGTCACCAAGAGTGGATTCCATCTGGTGAAAAATATCCCTTTGACAGAGAATAGATTCGTATTATTAATGAGGTGGTCCTCCCAGCCTGCCCACCCAATGATTTTGACCAACTTCCCACCCTACCCACCTCACTGGCCCTGACAATTGCTAACATGCACTGACAGCTTTCTACGCAATGTCCTAATGCGCTTTCCCAAACAGTCATTCAGGATTACGGCAGCGCTGAGAGGCATGTCCCTCATCAGCCCTGCTCTCCCAGATGAGGAAGCTGATGCCCTGAGAGGCTTGGCTGCCCCAGGATGCATAGCCACCGTGGTGGGAGAGCTGGGGTTTGAACCCAGGGAGGCTGGCCCCCAGTTTGTCATCATTTATTTTTCCTTTTTAAAAAGTTTCTTTTTATTGAGATGATCCACATAAAATCCATTTTTTTAAAAAAGTGTACAATCCAGTGTACACAAGTTGTACAGCCTTCATCACCATTTAATTCTAGAACATTTTCATCACCCCGAAAAGAAATCCTATACCAGTAGCAGCCACTCCCCACCCTTCTCTCCCCTGAACTCTGGGCAAATGCTAATCTCCTTCTTGTCTCTATGGAGTTTACTACTCTGGATGGTTCTTACAAATAGACTCATATTACACAATATGTAGTCCTTTGTGTCTGGATTCTTGGAGTAATGCTCTCCAGGCTCACCCTTAGGGTAGCATGTGTCAGTACTTCAGTCTTTTTCGTGGCTGCATAATATTCTACCTCGTGTAGACCACAGTTTGTTTATCATCATTAGCTTGTAATCTTAACTATGGCCCTGGTGGCATCCCCAAAGTCTAAGCAGATATGAATACACTCACCTTTTCCCTAGTGAAAGGAATAGCCCTTGATAATAAGGCAGCTGATTTTGTCCCCAGGCACCAGGGCAGATGGGAACCAGTGCCACACAGGACTTCCTCGCATCTTTTCTCTCTTCCCCTCTTGGGTCCCTGACCAGGGCCGCAATCTCAGCCAGTAAATGTCCACCGCTTGTTTTGAATGTGGCCCAGGTTCCCTTTGTCCAGAGAACCCCGGAAAATGGATCCACCCAGGAAGCCTGGGGGTCTCCTTGCTGGAGCCTGAGGACCCCTCATCACATGGAGTTTGGAGCCTGGAGCCCCGGCCTAGGCTGAGCCCCTGGGTGGCTGTGCTGTGTGCGCCATGAGCCACGGACCACCCTCTCCACGCCCTGGATGTTGGGGAGGGCCTCAGAAGGAGACCCCCCAGGGCTGGGAGGGAACAGAAGCAAAGCCCGTGACCCATCTGCGCTGCTGGGCGGGCTTCTCAGCAAAACGCCCCTCTCTCTCCGGAGCTGGAAGCGCTGTTCTGCGTTTGGCCACCAGGGGGAGCTGATCCGCACCACCCGGGAACAAGGCGCCTAAGGGGCAGGTCTGCGTCTCTGCAGTGCAGTTCTAAGCCTTACCTGCAGCAGCCCTCCCACCTTCACAGCCCTACCAAGTGGGGATGTGATTAGCCTCATGTCATTCCTGAAGCAACTATCGCACAGAAGGGTCACACAGCGGGGGCAGGGAGGCGGCAGTGGGACCCTAGCAATCTGACTCCAGAGAATGTGCCCCTCACCACTCTGCCCCCTGGCTCCCACCTGCCAGCCCCTGGGCGGGAACGCAGTCCCCTGCAGCAGGGCGGAGAAGGCGTCTGACGGCCCCTCCCACTGCTGCCACGATCCAGCCACGCAGAACCAAACTGTTCGCCGTGCACCTAGTCCCCTTAGCAGGCTAGCGCTGCTCCTCTTGCACTAGCTGCTCCCTCTGCCTGGAGTGCCTTTCCCCCTCGGCTCCGTGCTTCGCTGTCAGGCCCTGCTCTCGTGTCAACTCCTCTGAGAAGCCCTTCCCACCCCCAAGCAGATCGTCTCCCCCAGGCTCTGGGCTCCTCCGTTTCCTGCACACACACCTGTCTCCCCGCCAGACGTGGGCTCCTCGAGGCTGAGGCCCAGCCGGGTCCTCCCCATGTCCCCAGAGCCCAGCCAAAGTCAGGCACACTGCGCCGTAGTAAGAAACACATCGCACCCTGGAACGCTCACAAACCGAGTGTGCAAAGCTGGAGGACACAGAGGAGGTTTCAGAGAACCACACTCTGCCTTGCTGTCTGCAAAGCACTCTCATGAGTACAACATTTATTCCATAATGTTTGGATTGATTCTACTCAATTCTAGTCTTCTCTTTTTCTATTCCACTCTCATTCTTTCTTTATAATGCTAGTCTTGAGTCACCAAATTGATTTCTTGACCTAGATGGGCCACAACCCATGGTTTGAAAAAAACATCTAGATTATTAACTCTAAGGTCCTTTCTGCTCCCCAAGTCCTCCTCTCCCCCACTCCTCCTCTCCTCCTTTCCCTGCTAACTGCTTCCTTAAGTACTGTTCAGTGTCACCTCCTCCAAGAAGCCTCCTCAGATCCCCCAGGGCCCAGCCCGTGCCTCCTCTGCCTCTGCAGGCCTCTGCTCCCTGGGATGGCCCCAACTCCCTGTCATAGCTACCCGCTTAACACCTGTCTCCCCCTCATGCAGTCATCCCCTGGAGACCAGCCACTGTGTCTGCCCTGGTCACTATGCCAACCCAGCACCCAGCATGAGAGGGCTTGATAAACACAGGAAGCAATCGATCAATCAATGAATCCATGAAGGTCATGACTCTAACTCTACAAAACTAAGAATGGCTCTAACTCCCCTCCTGGTTCAAGTACTGCTACACCCTCATTCCCTTAATTTTCCCAGGCAACAACCAAGAACGCCCTTTGCTCCCACTCCACAACCGACACTGGAATCAGAGCTCGAAACCCAGCTGCACTGCTGGCCAGGTCTGACTTGGGCTGGTTACTTACCTTCTCTGAGCTGAGAAATGGAGATGTCAGCAGGCCCAGCTCATGGGACTGCTGTGAGGTTAAAGGCAGGGCCATTGTCGAGCGCTCAGCCCAGTGTCTGATGTGGAAGGAGCTCCCACCATGGCCACACGCCGTTCAGGCTGCCCACAGGAGGAGACACCTGCGTACACTTACTTTTGAGGCCGTCCACGCTGCAGAGCTGCTTCAGGACCTCGGTGGCCCCCTGCTCCCCAGGTCCCAAAGAGGTTACCAGCCCCACAGGCAGCCCGTGTGTCCTGAAGGTTGTAGCCAGCTGCTGGGCTGTGGCCACCCAGGTGTCCTGGTGGGAGGACACAATGGCCGAGCGAGCCCAGCCAAAGTGTCTCATGATGGACAGCAGCACATGGGCAGCGGAAGGCAAGGTGGGTGCCAATTCACCTCCTCCCCCGGGAACACCGCACGCCCAGGAGAAGAGGGTCTTGCCCCAGCTTCGGGCCAGCAGGGCTGCCGCTGGGCAGTAGCCAGGATTGACAGGGCCCACAAAAGCAGCTACGGAGTTCTTGTGGGCCAGGAATGTGGCCAGGGCGTGAGGGGTGTCACAGCCTGTGGATAGGACCACGGAAGCCAGCCGTGAGCCCAGCAACAGTGAGGAGTCCCGATTGGCTCGGTCCACAGCCAGCTGGGCAGCCACGCTGGGGAGGGCCCGGGCAAAGATGGAGTCACAGTCCCAGGGACCCAGCACCCCCAGGGTGAAGGTCCCTGCCCCCCAGGCCAGGTGGGAGACAGAGCCAGCCCACAGGATGGCAGCCCAAAGCACCACAGAGAGAAGTGGCAGGGAAGGGGCTTTCCTTGGATGACTGAGAGTGGACTCCCACGGGCCCTGGCAGGGCAGGTAGGTTCTCCTGTATGGCAGCATCCAGTCCCAGACTTCAGGGTACAAGCCCCCCTGCAGCCCTGGGAAAGGGGGGATAAGGACATGGTTTGCTTTCTAGCATTTTCTGCCAATACTTCCTGTGTGATTGTGAGGCAGACGACCCTCCCAGAACCTCAGTCTCCTCACTGGTAGGATGAGGGACTTGGACCCATGATCTCTGAAGGTCCCCCAGCTCTGTAGGCCTAACATCCTCCCAGGGCTGGCTCACAGCCTCCTGAGGCCCCAGCCAAGTCCTGGGCCTGAGTTTGATCTCTTGGTGAGTGGGCTATGGAGACACAGCTGGCTCCCTATTTCCGTCCGTGTGACCCTGGACCAACCTCTGATGCTTTCTGAGCCTCGTTTTCTACAACTTACTTTATGCTTACTTTATGGAGTTATTGTGATGGTCAAATGACATCATGTGAAGCATTTAGCACAGTCCCTCGTACTTAGGTGTTCAATAAATCCTACCTCTTTGAACCTAGTACCATGATTTTTCCCTTTACTCGTCCCCCAAGGTGGGCCCAGCTCCCCTGGTGCCCTCTGAGCCTCCCCTGCCTCTGCCCCTCCAAGCCCAGCACCACCCACAGTGCTTGGCTCTGCTGGACTCAACGGGCCCCAGTAGCTGACACACACACCAGGTACGGGCGTCACCACTGTGGTGCTCGTGGGGAGCTGTGACTGGAGGGCACGTGCATGTCCCCTCTCTGATCCCCCTCACAGAGCTGTTCAGACAAAGCGGACTTTCCATGCCCATTGTACAGATGAGGAGACTGAGGGAGCTGACATGGAGTTAGCAGAAAGATAGGGTTTGACTCAAGTCAGTTCAGCTCGTTCCCACCCCATGCATGACCTCCCTGTCCGGCACACCTGTGCATTCCCCACCTCCTCCCATCCTCTCACCCCTCCGCAGGCCCTGGGACTGCCGCTTGGCCCCTGCTGCCTCCCTGCACTGCCCACTCTCCACTCGCCGGCTCGGCCAGCCTTCTCCCCGCACCGTCTATGCAGCCAGTGGCCTACCACCATGGCTGCCCAGGAAGGAAAAGATCCAATCTCACCCTAAGGAACTGCCAGGCTAGTAGAAGCAGGTCCCAGACAAGGGCAGAGCTGCCCGCAAGTGTGAGCGTAGGCAGAAGGAATGGGGGAGCAGGAAGGGCTGGGGGCTGAGGAGGGGCTCATGGAGGGCTCCCCAGAGGAGGAATCCTACACTAGGACACGTAGGTCAGGAGGGTAAGGCGTGACCCCCACATGCCAGCAGCGCCAGTCTGTGTAGAGTAGCTCCTTACAAATTATGTTCCATTCAGGGGAATAGAAGGGCCTTGGAACCACAGAGAAGAGTCCACCCTATTTTATCACTCACTAGCCCCTAACCTTGGGCAAGATGCTTAACTTCCGAGCCTCAGTATCCCCATCTGTAAAATGGGGATGAGAATAACTACCTGCTAGAGCTGTGAAAACTAAAATGTGTAGAGTCCCCACAGTGGGGTTGAGTAGGTAGGTACTTACTAAATGGAATCGTTCTCATTATCATCATCATCATCATCACCACCACCTTTAGATCCTTGAGGGGAGACAGGTGTATTGTCGTGTAGAGAGAGCGGGACAGGGAGGTGGGAGGCCTGGACTCTGGCCCCCGTCTTGCCCCTGCCCCACTCTAGGCCTTAGGCCCCCATCTGCCAAGCAGCCAGGGTGCAGGGCGGCCACCCCTGTCCCCACTGGCCTGCAGGGCTATGGTTCTCCCAGCTCAAGGCTCTTCTGCCTCTGGACCTCTCCTTTCTGTGGTGCTCAAGGTGGCCTCCCCGCCCCGGGATGAGTTCCATCTGCCCTCCAGATGGGTCCCTCAGAGCAGCTGAGCAGGTTCTGAACTCAGAGACAGCTGATCATTTTCAGCTGGGAACATAACCATGCCCTGCTGATAATGACAGCCACCTCTCCCCCCAGTTTGTACTTTCCAAAGCGCCTGTAATCCACTTCTTTGCCTGGTCCTCCCAGGGGCTCTGAGAAGAGACTTTTTGCCTTTTGCTTTCAGAGAAGGAAGTTGTGACTCTCAACAGGACAGAAACTTGTCCAAGATCTCACCAAGTTAGGGCTGCATTGGGGCTGGAGCTTGGCTGCCTGCCCCCTAGCCAAAGGGAAAAAATCACCTCTTTTTATTGGCACCTGGACATCAGAGCTGAAGGCTGCTTGGGGATTGAAACATCTAAACCACTTCCTCTGTGTACAGATGGGGTCACAGAGGCACAGACAGGCCCGTGTCTCCCCTTGGTCCCACAAAGCAGCAGCATGCTCCCCTGGCCCAAGGCCCTGCTGGCCCTGCTAAGTGCCCCAAGAATTCTACAGCTGACGGCCTGCAGGGCTCACAGAGCGCCCAGGCCCTTAACAGACCACCCTTGGGCCAAGGCAGGAGCCAGCTTTTAGCCCCATCTCTGCCACGGATTTGTGGCATCAAGTCCATACTCCTTCCGATACCTCAGTTTCCCCAGCTGTACAGAGAGCTTGGTTTAGATGTTTAGCTCTCCAAAGATCCTTCAGCTCTGATGTTCTATGTGTCAATAAAAATCAGGAGGCAGGTGATTTTTGTCTCTGAAGCTGGTCATGTCCCCTCTTCCAACCCATCCATCAAGAGCACATGACCTTCCAGTGCCTCCACCTCCAGGCACATTGGTGCAACCCTCCTAGAGGGGACCATTTGTATTTTTAGACTCAGGGAGCTGGTCACCAAGGACTAGCCACAGCTTGCGTGGCTCATGGAGCCAAGCGCATGCAGGTAGGTCCTCCACAGGACCACAAACCCAGAAGTTAAAATGCCTTTAGCTGAATTAATAGATGAATAACAAACATCGGGAAGGTAAATGACCAAAATAGGAGCCCAAGGAGGGATGAGGGGGGTTCCTCTGAGTTAGGGCCTCTCTAGCCCCTGAAGCCAAGGGTGGCCTTCCCTGACCCCAGCCTGGCTCCTCTTCCCTTCGTTTGGAGCAAGCTCCCCAGACCCACCTGCCATGCAGCACCATCAGAGTCACTCGCCACCTCTTTGTGGATCCAAGGCTGCACCGATGTGTGGTGTCAGGCCCTCAGAGCAGGCTCTGGCCTGGCGGAGTGAGTCCCTTCCCCTCAGCCTGCACCATCGCCACTCCTGCTTCCTAACTCCTGCCTGGGAGTGCCTCATGCATGCTCATTCCCTTCCTGTCCCCCTCAGGGGCCGAACAAGCCACTTGGAAAATTAGATCTGTTCAGACCCTAGTGCTCTGGGAGCCGTATGGGGAAAGGAAGGAGAGAGGGCGGTTAGAGGAGGGAGGGAGAAAGGGAGAGGATGTCTTCAGCACTGCGGACAGCGCCACGCCTGGCTGGGGCTCCCAGGAGGAAGGATGGGCAAGCACTAAAGAAACCAGCTTATTGAGCACCCACTACGTGCCAATCCCTGTGCTGGGTGATACTCATGCAACCCCCTGAGACAGGTATTATTATCATTCTCACTTTATAGATAAAGAAAGTATGGCCCAGAGTGGTTAGCTAATTTGACCAAAGGCGCAGAGCTAGTCAGTGGCAGGGCTGACTATAGGTCCAGGCTTCTGCTCATCGCACCACAGTGAGTCCTTGAGAATTAGAATGGAGGTTTTCTGTCTTCTCTTTTGGAGTGGACACTTATGTGGAGATGGAGCCCCCGGTCCAGTGGACATTCGGCTCTCCCTCCTCCACGTGCTCTGTCCTAGGTGAAGGCGTGAGCCAGAGCCACCTCCCTTCCTCCCCTCCCCCCCACCTCCCACCCTTAATTCCTGTCATCTCCCTCTCGCCCCCCTCTATGCTTCAGGTGCTTTTCTGGACACTTGGGCTACATCAATAAACAAAAATAGCAAAGATTTTTTGCCCCTCACAGAGCTTACTTCCTAGCAGGAGTAAGAAGGAGTGTGCAAGGCAACAAATAAACATGAGCAGTAAGTAGATGTATTTATAGTGTTAGAAGGAGATAGGTGCTATAAAGGGAAAAGTAGAATAATGATACCATGTTATAATTCAGTACAGGTATTATCTATGATGCTACACAATCTTTATGATTGTCATTTAAGTGGTCAAGGAACACATGTGTGGATGTGTCATAAATCAGTACAGTAATCCCTTGGTATCCACAGGGGATTGGTTCCAGGATCCTGCACAGATACCAAAATCCACAGATGCTCAAGTCCCTGATATAAAATGATGTAGTGTTTGCATATGTCTAGATTATTTATAATACCTAAATAGTTTTTATGCTGTATTGTTTAGGGAATAATTACAAGATAAAAGGTCTGCACATGTTCAGATTTTTAAAAAAATATTTTCAGTCCACAGTTGGTTGAATCCTTGGATGTGGAACCTGCAGATACAGAGAGTTGATGATAATTACCTATTATTCAGCACTAATCTTGTTCTGGAAGGATTTTAGGGCACCTGTTGATGTGTGAGGCATGTACCTGTTTGCTCTCAGATCCATTCGCTGACCTTCCAGACTGAATAGGCTCCCAGGGGTCAGAGGGCTGACCCTGAAAACTTCACTTCCCAACATCCCCCGCTTCTGGCTGGATTCAGCCAATAGGCAACACCAGCAGGAGATTGGAGGACAGGAGAAAGGGAGAAGCCAGGGAATTTCTCCCCTTCTCTGCTCTGACAGTGTCCCAGCAATGGCCATGTCCGTCTCTGGTTCTGACCTCTTCAGACATCCCTCCTAATGTGGCCCAAGTTTCCAGGCTGATACCACCTCCCTTCCTTTGTCTACCACCCTAGGGGTGGTAGAGGCTTCCTGCTGTGGCGGATCTCTGAACTGCTACATATCCTAGCACCTTTTTAATCACTCCTTCATTCCACTTGCCCACTATTGGATTACTGGCGAGGGCTCTGTTTGCCAGGCAATACCCTGACTGATGCACTAAATACCTGAATTGTTTGCAACTTCTCACTGTTATGAATAATTCTTTAAAGAATATCATGCTTTTGTCATCTTTTGAATTTTTCCCTTATGATAAGCCCTC